AAATATCAAAAGTGGAACCCACCTTTACAGTTGCGTCTGTTGAACAGTGGCATGTAGACGATGGTGGGCGCCTGGTTGGTCCCCTCCAGGACGTACAGGTCCTTGGGCCACTCCCTGTCCTCCAGGATCTGCCGGTGTATCTCTGGGAACGGCTTCTTCACCTCGGCAGCGTAGTCTCTGGCCAGGGTCAGGGTCTGAGAAGAGACAGGACGGATCAAGAAGAACGGCTGCTTCAGGTTTTTGTTTATTCATATTTTTCTCCTCCCTGTTTCAACGTTCTAACTGTCTGGAACAAATGTAAAAATGAAGGTCATTTTCATTTTATAGTCACGAGCGCCGGCGCTGTGAAAACAGTTGTATAATTTTATCTGTTATGTTTATGGAGCTGCTTAGAGTCTGGGAGATAGTCCTGAGAATTCTGCAGGAGGGAGTCTCATATCAGGGCTCAGTATTCAAATATGGACGAGGATACAACACCGGCTGTGGGAGGATGATGGGTAAAAGGTTCACGTTTTAATTTTAATGTTTTAACATTTTAATGAAACACGATTCTGTTGAAGTCAGTTCTTTTCTGTGGACAGACAAGTGTACACACTGGGCGAACGACTGAGACTGAGCTTTGAGAAAACACACACACACTCTCTCACACACAGACACACACACAGACGCAGACACAGCTGTATTAACTGTGAGCTTTATACTTGTCAGAAAACGACAGACAAAGATTTTGTTGAGGATATGAAGAAAAATAAATCATTCAGTTTGTTTGTTTGGTTTTTTTCAAGGTTCTCAACCACTGGGCCCCGGACCAGTACTGGGCATTTTTGCTAAATGTGTCAACTGTACTTTAGAAGCAGAGGTTTCCAACCACTGGACCGTGGACCCCTGCAGGGCTCTGGGTCCACTGATCTGGGTCCACTGAGTAAAACTACGACATATTACATAGAACTCAGTATCTGGTGACAGTTTAATTTTTTACTTTAAATTAGCTACAGCGTTAGCTTCAGGGACACTTTTCATCCACCACTACGGTGTACTGCAGCTGAAGTTACCTCAAACATGTTCCCAGCACTGTACTCTGGTGCGATGATCAGGTCGATGTCCCTCTTGTGGCCCAGAAATGGAGGGTAGCCCACGTTGATCAGCAGCCCAGCATCGATCAGGTGAATGTTTTCCGCGGTGTTGAGACAGAGAGGGACGGAGGAATCTGGACACAAACACAAACCTGTCATCAAAGATGAGGTCGTGACACTGTAAAAATACATTTACTGACTGAAAAGAAAAAAATCTTCAGCCTCCAGATATCCATTTATTCAAACATATATTTAAATACAGAGCAAATTATCAGATAAATACATTCGTGTGTCAGGACGTTTTATAATTAGACATTTTGACTCTAAACCTTCTTTGTTTGTCATCTGTTGCTAGGCAGAAGTCATGTGAACATTTACCTAAACAGAAGAGAAGTTCCACTTTTTTTTTTTTTTTTAACAGTTACAGAACAGATCCGTGAACTCACCTTCATACTGGTACAGGAAGTTACTGGTTGTTCCCCATTCCCATTCCACTACACTGGGAAGGACCTGGTTCACCAGCAAACCAACTGTGGAGAAAAACACAGAAAAAAGATTCAGAAACTCTTCCTGTAAGAAAGCGTGTATTTCCAGTTTGTCTGGTTGTGTGCTACACAGACCGTGGGTTTTGAAGTCTCCATCCTCCAGGTTCTGGCTCCAGGTCTGCACGGCAGTCAGCAGGTCCTGGGTCCACTGCTGGAACAGTCTCTCCTTCTCCTCTGGACTCTTCGACTCCAGCAACACTGACTGGTTCCGTTTCACCATGTCTGAAAAACCACGAGAGTTCGGCTGTTACTGTGCATCTCTCTGTGCCGCGTGGTCAGCACCGGTCAACTCGGTACCTGACAGGATTCCCTGAAGGTCGTTCAGGGCCGACAGAGGAGCCGGGGCCTGGACCGTGCTGCTCATCAGGACCAACAGTTTATTCAGGGAGCTGTAGACACGGACGTACTGCTGAGCCGCGTCGTCCAAGACTGAAAAATATCAAATCAATCAATCGATAATAAAATGAACAGAATTTAGTAACGTTTACTGAGTCAAGACTTTGTCAAAAGACCAAATAAAAACTGTCTGTCAAAGGTAACGATACATGTGAGTGTGACGTACTCTGCTTATGGTTGAGCCAAGGGATTAGGTCTTTGATCATGTCCTCATCAGCCAGTGCAGATCCTAACACACCTGCACACACACACACACACACACACACACACACACTTTATTTTTTTCTATTTTCTCCCCTTATACTGGTTTTTATATTCACTGGGTTCCTTCCACTCAGACAGAACAATTAATGGAAAAAAAAAAAGGTAGTGGCTGCTCTCACTGATCTGACGTCACAGTACTGACCTAGTAGTCTGATCATGTCCATCTCAGGCTTCTGCTCCAACAGCTCCCCCTTCTGGAACTTACTCCCCAGCAGAGTCGTCGGGACAAAGAGTCCGATCTCTGTGAATCCAGCCTCGTGGGGACTCATCTCCAACCACTTCCCTGTGAGACAGACCGTGTCAGTTTTTACTCTTCCTCCTCCTCCTCTCCCTCAGTCAACAGTTGAATGTGAAGCAGTCAGAACCTGCAGTGGCTCCGTGTGAAAAGCACGTCTTCTCTACGGCACTGTAGACGGGGTAAGGGTTGGTGGCGTTGTAACTGGCCTCGTCTGAGAGCCGGCGCTGGTCCATCTGATCAGGAGTCAAACACCGACATGTAAGGACGACCCTGGTGTGTGTGTGTGTGTGTGTGTGTTATCTCTTGTCCGACCTGCTTCATGATCCCAGCACAGGTCAAAACGCCCCAGACGTCGGACAGAGAGAAGGACTCCTCTTGTGCTGTGTCAACCAGCCAGGCCAGAGCCTGGTTCAGCTCCACTCCTGGACCTGACAGCCTGGACACGGCCCGGTCCATGTTGAGGCTCCACTCTGGGTCGCTGTACAGGGAGGCCATCGACCTTTCAGCCGAGGACAGAGAAGACGCCCAGGTCAAAAACCAAAAACTGCCCAAAAACTTTGTATAAAAACAGGATTTTGGACCAGAAACAAGCCTTAGAAAAGTTTAACTTGATACTACCACCTGCAGGGAAGCAGAGGGATTTACATGCTGTATAAAATACAAGATACTTTATTTTTTAAAAATGTAAACATTTTAAAAATGAATGAAAAAAATGAATACAATTTTTTTTTACCAGGTTGAACCAGAAACTCCGCTCAGGTAGAGCAGTGAGTCCAGCAGACCGTCTTTCTGCAGCTGATGGAGAGAACCCACCAGGGCCACAGCTGCTCTCTGACCACCGCCTGAAGCCAAAAAAGCTATGTGAGGAACAGAGTCCTGGTGGAGCAGGACGGAGGGGTGAGACGGGGGAGGGGGGAGTCAGTGACAAGAAGACTTTGTTAAAGTACAGCATTGGAACACAAAGGTTGTTAAAATGAATAACAGCCGTCATTATCAGTCTTTTATGCAGCCACAGTCATTCCCATTGTCTCAAAAACAAATTAAAAAAATAATTAGCAGAAGAAAGTAGCTGAGTGTTGGACATGAATTCCCAAACACCCCCAACCCTGTTGTTGTTGTTGTTTTCTTACTGCAGTACAGTTGATTCCCAGGTTGTTCAGTGACTTCAGGACAATTTTCTTCCTCCTGTCAACAAAGTCCTGCTCCCCGGCACACAGAGAGGGGGACTGACGGACGGGGCTCTGGGGGGAAAGATTTAATTAAAAAGGTAGTGCAATTAAAATAAAAAAGTTTTTACAAAATGTTGTCTAGAATATATCTGCTAGAATATATCTTACAACGACGTCTTGTCTTTAAATATCAGTTGTTTCTTCTCCCAGAGCAAATTGGAAATTTAACTTCTTTAACTCTAACAGAATCGATGTCAATGAATTTGTCACAAATCCTTAATTTTACTCAATGTAAATTTAAGAATACAGTACACTATACTGCCGATGCTACAGCGACATTTAGTGGTGAATTTATGTATTGCAACATAGCTCTCCTCACGTACACATTCCTGTGGACTACAGTGTTAAGTAATCACTAAAAAAAACGATTCAGTTCAACCTCTGAATTAACATGGAATGTCATAAAGAAGCTGTGATTCTGATGTAATTAATTCTGTGGTGAATAAATAAATAGTTCATTCCATCAGCTGTAAATAGATTCAGCTTAATGTGAAACAATGTGCCTTTAAAAAAAAAGTACCTCTAAAGAGTTTGACTGTTTGACACTCACTTTGGCAGCAGTCTCTGGCGTCTCCATGTCTTCGGCAGATCCTAACACAGCTCCAAACATCAGGATCCAGAGGCAGGTACAGGAAGTCCACCTCAGGTTACCTGTCTGCATTGTTACAGTTAGAATTCACTGTCACTGTCCAATCACAACCAGGCGTTAAAAAGGCGATTTCCTGGTTAAACCAAGCACAACTGCACTGCACCTTTAGCAAGAATGACTGTTTCAGCTCTGACAGGTAGGCACATGCACACACACACATTCTGACATGTGAGTGTCACACAAAAATCTGGGTTTGGGGTTTTTTGGTTTTTTTTTCCTTTAGCATGTGTTTGCTGTGGAGAATTACACAAGTACAGCATGTACTGTAAAATATAACATAATAATAATAATAATAATAATAATAAAGAAGTAGCTGCAGTACATCACAGGACCAACAGAATTTTTTTACTCCACCTGTGGAACTCTATCCCTGTAGCATTGTGACCAAAACAGAGCTGCACAAGTCCCACTTCCCCTTCGCACCACAAGAGGGCGTCTCAATACTTTAATTGTGTGTGTGTATGAAGGAATTCATGACATCCAGCATTTCTACCATGTGCAATGATTACTATTTCCGCTAGAGGCCAGTACAGGGCTATCTCACCTTGGTGCAGCAGGATTGAGCGCCGAATAAACAAGTGCATAACTCTTCTTTTAATTATTTATAGAAGTTATAGAAGTAATAGAATGATTAAATTCTGCCTGTGGCCCAGTTAAAAGTTGTACGTGATGTTTAAATTTTTAGTAGACACCAATTTTGACGTTGTCCGTTCTACAAACATTGTGTAGCTGCCGTGGCTATTCTACAAACATTTCTTTTGATGCTAGCTGATGCTAAACATTTTACAATTATCTGCATTATTCTGTAAATATTAAACAGAAAACACCTAAAGAAACAATGTATTTATTTATCTTTGCATCAATTACTTTTTATGTGTATATATATTATATTTATATATATATATAAAACCACTGGCCAGGAACAGAAAACAGAAACGTTGAGCTGACGTCAGTTATTAAGGCCAACACTTACCTGTCATTTTGTTTAAGTCTTTTCGCAAAGTTCCAGGGTTTTATTAAGCTTAACAATATTGTAACTGTGACAAAACGCAGAGAATGGCTTGTAAACGTGTTCGTGGTTTAATATCTGCCGGGGGTGATACAAATAAAATCCTAATTATAAAAAGCCTGAAAGTATGTGTTAGTAGTATGCCGCCAAAAGGAAGCGTAGAAGAACAGGAAGGAGAAGAAGAAGAACAGGAAGAAGAAGGAGAAGGAGAAGAAGAGGAGGAAGAAGAAGAAGACATCAACAATTTAACATACTAATTCGTGTACCGTTGAATTGTATAGATTAATATTAATATTTGCCACTTTTTACAAAACACACAACAATGTCGTCTTTTTTCTCTTTTAAAACATTTATTAAATTCATTGTTTATGCACAGGAGATTACATACAGTCAGACAAACACGAGCAGCGGAGCGAACAGGTGTCACGGACGCCGTGGGAAACGTGGTTATGCACGGACACGGTTGTCATTCATCGCCCGGCGAGTTGACAGCAGTTCTAACCCACCGACAGCGATGAATGTGAACCGGAAACCTGCACGACAGAAGCGTTTACCCGGTGGTACTGCTGACGAGGAAGAGATTTGTTCTGACACGGAACCGGTGAATAGATCGAACAGGTGCAAATGAATGACAGATCCTCTACATTCTACTGAACAGAGTGAATCCACGTCTTTGAGTCAGACACAATACGTCAAGACGATGTTATTTTCAGACTATTCAAAGATTTAAAATTGTAAAGAACACATGAGAGGTATACAAATATAAATAAATTACTCACTGAATGAACGTTTGGGTTAATTCCACATACTTACACGTCACAGGTCCTCATTCTCCGTAGTTCCTGCATCTGTAGACAAAAAAAGAGCTTATATCAGTATGAAATGTGCAACGACTTTTCTTCTACCTTCGTTTAAACATTTCTGGGGCGGGAGGGGGCGCTGTAGCCTAAAAACAACTGGCCAATGTGGCAGGAGAAAAAGAAAACGTCTAATAGAGAGACTGGGCATCGAACTACCAAGTTGGGGGGGCGCAGCTGAAAAAAACTGAAAAAGACACTTTGGCAGTTTGGACATTTTTGCTGAGGTTTCGGAACTGATGTGACGCCTGTCAACGTTCTTTTTAAAAAATAATTTCCTTTGTCTTATAAAAAAAGTTTTGTTTTGTTTTTTTTTTCAAATTATATTCTACTTCCTCAGTCAGCATTTTCTTCCTACTGGTAAATTAGTTTTTAGTTGAACCTTTACAAAAGAGAGGGCCAACCACGCCCTCGTGTGGAGCAGCAAGGTACTACACAATCAGAGAAACATTTGCAGACAGAAGTGGGTTTTGCTGTTTCATCATAAAATCTTTGTTTTGTTGAATATTTTCCGTTTTTTTATGTTTCTGTTAAAGTTATTTTATTTTCAATTGGGGCAAAATAAAAAACAAAATTTACCAACTTTACTAAATTTAAAGTAGAAATGTGGCTGCTCTGTGTTTTTCTGTTTTTCTTGACATTTTTTGTGTGTTGGACTCACAGAACTGTGTCATTATCACCTGTGGCTCCAGCCCAGCGTTGTTGTGTTTAATCACTGCACGCTGCAGCCAGAGCTCGGCTGGTGTAAACTACAGTGGAGTTAGTGACATCACAGGTTTCCCAGCTACGCTGTACTGCCCCCGTGTGGACCAGTGGGACCGACGTGAGCTCCAGTGTGAGGGTACAATCAACACTCGATGGTTTCATGGAGTCACAAACTCACCGACAGCGTTGAATGTTCCCCCCCACTTGATGAAAACGGGGGCTGACAGACGTCCTGTCCTCGTGTGACAAGGAGTGGACAGGCATGACAGGGACGCAGCCCGGAGGACACGGAACAAGAGGAGACGAGAGAGAGAGCTGCAGCTGCGCACACACACGCACACACACACAGGGACGCACACACACATTCTGGTATTTGTTTTTCGTGAGTTTTTCAGAAAAACATAAACCATAGTTTAAATAACTACAGCAGTTACATATCAGATCGCCATTTGCTATTTCCCCGGCTTAATGGTTTCCAAAGCGGGGGGCGCAGGACTGTTGTTTATTCAGTAGTTATGACAGTACACACACCAACAAGACCAACAAGCATTCACACTAGCATTCACACTAGCATTCACACTAGCATTCACACTAGCATTCACACTAGCATTCACACTAGCATACACGTCAACATAGAGCATTGGTTCCCAAAATGGGGGGCGTGCATCCCCCAAGCGAGCGACAAGCCGCTACAGGAAGTGGTTTGGACTGTGAGACATACAGGACGTGGACAAGACCAGACAGAGAGACTAGAACTGGTAACTGCAGCTCCACCTTGTGGCCTTCACCTCCACCATCTTGTTACGTTACAGATATTCTTGAAGTCATTGTTCGGTCGGACGCCGTGATGCGGAGGTGCGTTTACTGTCGCAGCTCTCACCAATATTTGGTTCTCGGTTCAAAACAGAACTCTTTACTTTTTTTTTTTTTTTTTTTTAATTTCCATGATTTCGAACCTTTTCTTTCATTTTCCCCGTCTCACATTATCACGTTCCCACACTTCAGCTGCCTTCTCCGGTTACACTTCCTGTGGAATGTCTCCTTTTTTCCCTCCCATATTACCTTTGTTGTTTCCATATCACCAGGCCTGACATAGTTTGAGGCTAAATTCTCACAGGGAGGTGGAGCTGGAGGTGGAGGTGGAGGAGCAGAACAAAGACCGGTTCAAGTCCAAATGTCAGATGATTTAATGTGGATTCTCTCAGTGTCTTCGTGGACTCTTTGTCCTGGGGAGAGTTTACTTTAGTTCAGTTCAGTTCAGTTGATGGTTCGTGGTCATTATGATTAGTTAAATATATATTTATATTTACATATATATTTACATTTATATTTTTTATTTAAATATTACTGGAATTTGTTGCCGTTTTTTTTTTCCGACGGACGACAGGAAGTAACCTGAGAATTGAACCGACAACCGACAGTAGAGCAGTGAACAGTAGTTGCTGTGGTTAATTATGAACGACAGCTAAAAACTGTTACTCTGTCCACCCTGTGATGATGGAGGAGAGTCTGGGGGTGAGGGTGAGGGGGGGGGGGGGGCAGGGAGATGGAGGGTGTTGGAGAGTCAAGGGTGAGTGGAGAGAATAAAAGAAGGCGAGCGGGTGGGGGCAGCGGGGGTAGTCTGGGTGAGAGGAGCGCTGATCGATTCCAGGCTTGGTATTTTCCAGACAGGCTGAATGGTAAAGGTCAGAGGTCAGCTGCTCTTGTTTCCTATGAAAGAGAGGCTGTGTGTGTGTGTGTGTGTGTGTGTGTGTGTGTGCATATGCGACGACTATTAATTCTAATATTTCTAATCTCACCGACTGTTTGCCAATATTTCTATTAATTATTTGTTCAATTTGATTCAATTCAATTCTTAATTAACATTGATAAGAAAAACTCGTCACCTTCGTTTCTCTTTCCTAATATTTAAAGCTGTGGGTTCAACTCCAGTGCAGCAGATTTTTTTTTTTTTTTTTTCTCCTGGATTTCGTCTGTTCGTCTCTGTGGAACGTGACAAAAAAAACACATTTATTTTTAACTTGTCTTTGAGAGCAACAAAAATCCCAGGTGTTTTTTTTCTTTTTTTTTTTTTTCTTTTCTTTTTTCTGTGGATTTGAACAGCTGGACAATCTGTGCCCAAAAACAAACACGAGGACAGTCTGAGCAGGCAGGTGATTGGGTGTTTTGCTCAAGGGCACATGGGGGGACAACTGCTAAAAATAGTCCTAGGTGCTGCTGCTGCTGCTGCTGTTGTTGCTGCTGCTGCTGTTGCTGCTGCTGCTGCTACTGCTGCTGCTGCTGCTGCTGCTGGTGCTGCTGCTGCTGCTGTTACTGCTTCTGTTACTGCTGCTGTTACTGCTGCTGCTGCTGTTGCTGTTACTGCTGCTGCTGCTGTTACTGCTGCTGTTTCTGCTGCTGGTACTGCTGCTGTTGCTGCTGCTGTTGCTGCTGCTGCTGTTGCTGCTGCTGTTACTGCTGCTGCTACTGCTGTTACTGCTGCTGCTGGTACTGCTGCTGCTGCTGCTGGTACTGCTGCTGTTGCTGCTGCTGTTGCTGCTGCTGTTGCTGCTGCTGCTGTTACTGCTTCTGTTACTGCTGCTGTTACTGCTGTTACTGCTGCTGTTTCTGCTGCTGGTACTGCTGCTGCTGCTGCTGGTACTGCTGCTGCTGCTGCTGGTACTGCTGCTGCTGCTGCTGGTGCTGCTGCTGCTGCTGTTACTGCTTCTGTTACTGCTGCTGTTACTGTTACTGCTGCTGTTACTGTTACTGCTGCTGTTACTGTTACTGCTGCTGTTACTGTTACTGCTGCTGTTACTGCTGTTGTTACTGCTGCTGCTGTTGTTACTGCTGCTGTTACTGCTGTTACTGCTGCTGCTGGTACTGCTGCTGCTGCTGCTGGGGTCAAATGTGACACATCTGCCCTACACTGTTTTATTTTCATGTGTGTGTGTGTGTGTGTGTTCTGCTACGACTGTTCACACAACTTCATTACACTGACGAGGCGATGACAACAGTCACGCAACTCATGTCTGCACAGACCAGAGATGGCGCTCTTTGACCTCTGCTGCTGCTGCTGCACAAATTCAAACAAATATTGAACAAATATTGTGGTAAAGTATAGACAGAGCAGGACGAAGACATTTGTCCCATGGAATCATACAGACGTGTATGTAGACGTGTGTGTGTGTGTGTGTGTGTGTGTGTGTGCACGCATGGCTGCATGTGAATGCATGCGGTCCTGAATGAGAAGACAGATTGTGGCTGCGAGGTAAAGAAAAAAAATGGAGGGGGAAGGGGACAGGGAGACGCAGACACGCGGTGGGTGGCGGGGCGGGGTGAGGCGGGGGGAGGCGGGGGGGGGGGGGGGGGGGCGGGGGGGGGGGGG